TCCCTCCTGCATCTCCAGGATCCAACCCATAGGGGCCTGGTCTGCAGTAGGAGGGAAGGAAGTGTGTGAGAAGGAGGAAAGTCAGGCGGTCAGTGGGGCTGGGATTCCCCAGCTCCTCCTCTCTGTGCTCCAGGGCAGGGCGGGCCCAGTGCCAGCTCTGTCTGGGGAACAGGCAGGGATTTTCCACTCTGAATCTAATGTCCAGCTAAGGCCAGGCCAGGGCACTGTCCACTGTAGCAGGTTGTTGGGAACTGCCGTAACTGGTATCAGAAGCTGAAACCCCCACCTAGGCTAAGGCTAAGGGAACGCCCTTGGAACTGTGAGCCAGCAAGGAGACAAAAGCTTATCTTCCTGGCAGGAATGCTGCTTCTGCTGTTTTATTCATAACTGAACCCCAAAAAGCTTGGTTGGTTAGCCAAAGACTGGTAAGATTCCCCAAGGGGGGAACGACCTAAGACAGGCATGATCACTTTGGGAGGCCCCCCAAAAGAAGGACTTTGGGGGCTGCAGCAAAAGGGGGTGATGGACCCTCGCTCCTCGGTTTTGACATAGCCTGAGTTCTCAGTGTCTGGGAAAACACCTCCTTGTTTCTCGGTTGCCTTAGTTCCCTTGCTCCACCTAAGCCTGAAACAATGACAGGGTGGTGCAGCTCTGTGCTGAAAAGGGCGGATTCCCCAGGGTGATCAGGCCTAAGAAAAAACATGTAAATTACTGTGAAACCTTCTTTGTTTAGAATGCTCTCAGTTGAATGAGAAGGGTCTTAGGAGGAAGTTATTTTGTTCCTCAGTCTTACAGCTCTTTGACCCCCAACTCAATAGACCGGCAGAGTTCTTTGTTCTCTGTGGTTCCTTACTTCCCTCTAATGAGTACTGTACTTTACCTGAATTATTATGCAGAATGAGCCCAACAAAAGCAGGTATGGACGGTAAATCAGCGCGCTCCCCACCAGGGGGGGTGGCCATTTCGTCCCTACTTCCCCACAGAAACTAGTTTGTCTCTGTGCATGTGTTTTTTCTCACGTGTTTATTGTTGAGCCATCCACAGTGTTCCGTGATCACTGCTGGCCGGTGACCCACGCGCAACAGCTGGCGCCCAACGTGGGGCAGCGATTCGGGACCACAGAGGTGGGACCCCGATCGAGACCACTTGGAACCAGCAGCTACAAGCGGTCGCTGTGGGCAACGCATCAACTTCGGGTGGATTTGCGCGCTAACAGCCCAGGTAAGGGCCGACGACCCCGTTCTCTTTCTCGGGCATGTCGTAGGATGCGTTGAATTTTCAGGGAAGTAGGTCTTTCTTTTCTAGGTCATTTCTCTCTTCGCGACTACCTATAATTGGGTAAATAGCAATTTAATTTTCAAGTTTGGAAAAACAAATGATTTGCCCTGAAAAAAGTAATCAGGTGATTTGTTTTGGCCAATTAAAAATAAATAAAAGGAAGCTTTTTCTTTAAAAAAAAGGGGTAAACATGGGTTGTAATTTATCTAAAGGGCAGAAAGCTTTTCTGCGTATATTACAACAAGTTCTTAAAGAAGCAAAGTATAAGGTGAAAGAAAAGCATCTGGTTCAGCTTTTGCAATCTATAAGAAAATATTGTCCTTCATTTCCTGATAGATGGATGGTAGACATTGATGCATGGGAAAAAGTGGGTGCAAGGTTGAAATCTTTGAAAAACTCTGGTATATCTATTGGTGCACACACCTATGTAACCTGAAGGCTGGTCAGACATTCTCTCGAGTTCATTTGGGCAAAGAAAACAGAGCTAGACTATTGAGGAGGAATCTGATCCTGACAGTGAAATGGCGTGCAATTTGAGTGAGCAGATCACGGAGGCCCCACCTTCACCCCCACAGAGAAGGATGGATTTTGCTCTGTATCTGCTCTGAAAAGGAAATTGAGGATTCCAGGGAAGGTTGAAACTTCACACTCTAGGAATGTAAATGGGGAAACTGTAAAGATAAATGGAAAAGTAAAAGTTTTAGGAAAGAAGTTATGTGATGTTAGTTAATAATTGAAGGTATAAGGCATGGAAATGCAATCTTGGTGAATATCAGAAAGAAAGAATAGAGAGTTTGTGAATGTTTCAGAAGGTCTGTGGAAGTGAAAGTTTTCAGAAGCCTGGTAGATATCAGAAGGAAAAGGATTTTCCTTCACACTTTATATTTTTCTCCCTACCTGATCCCTCCAGAATTTGGCATTCTAAAGGAGTAAGTAATGACATAAGGTTTCTTTGCATAAATCTAACAAGATCAGTTGTTAATAGTGGATATGATTTAATTGTGCCTTCCAACTCTTTCCAAATCTGTTATCTCCAGAATATGACCAGAAAATGAATGAGTCCAAATGGCATTATAGCATTTAACAATGCACTGCCCTCCTTATGAGTCCGACAGTTTGTTAACACCTGGTTGCACTTATTGTTTAATCAATACTACTTTAGAATTAGTCCAACGGGCTCAAATAGATCAGGAGAACCTGACCCGCCTTTCTGCAGTTGAATCAGCACTGGACTGGACTGGCGAACGCCAGGACGCTCTCGTGACTCCTCAGCACCTAACTTGTGACCCTGGTTTCTCCAGACTGTGTGTCACACCGCTACAATGGAATTCCAGCCAACATACTTGGACTGATATACAACATCGCTTGAGGGGAGCTTTCTCCACTAATTTAAAAGGACAAATTGATAAATTGCAGTTGGAGTTACATCAGCAGCTGCAGGACATTCAACGTTTAACCAAACAGGACATTTTTCGAACCCTTAATGAAAATATTAATTGGCTGAATCCTAAAACATGGTTTGATGGAATTAATTTGAGAATTTGGGTTTTTGGAGCTGCTGGTTGTTTACTGATTGTAATATTGATTTGTGTACTTCAGTGTATTTGCAAATTGTTTTCCCAGGGTCGTATCAGAGACCAGCAGGTAGCCACCTTTATGGAACCCTTAGCAGTCCTAACTGAAAACAAGGGAGAAGGTATGAAAAACCACTCTGGCAGGCGTAAAATTAAAACTCAACACCCACGTAAGAAAGTAGGTGATGAGTCGGTGCGCGGAACTGCACCTGTTAAGAAATCCTCTCATAAAAAGTCAGGCTTGCATTATGCTCAAACTGCCATGTGATTTGCCTTTCCTGATATCTATGTAATTTCTCTCAAAGATTGAAATGTAATCAGGCCTATTACTTTTGTTTTTCCCTTAATATGTTTTCTTGCACTGAATTTAGAAATTTAGGTATTCACAAGCCATAAAATTTAGTTTCTGCTTTAATTTCTATTATTGCCGTATGATGTATGTAGATGTTGCTTTTCTTCTGATTTGCATTCGAAAACAGCAAAGTAGGTTTCACAGGCTTAACAATCACAATTGATTTTAAAAACTAAAAAAGGGGAAGATGTTGGGAACCGCCCTGACTGGTATCAGAAGCTGAAACCCCCACCTAGGCTAAAGCTAAGGGAACGCCCTTGGAACCGTGAGCCAGCAAGGAGACAAAAGCTTATCTTCCTGGCAGGAATGCTGCTCCTCGGCTTTGACATAGCCTGAGTTCTCAGTGTCTGGGAAAACACCTCCTTGTCTCTCGGTTGCCTTAGTTCCCTTGCTCCACCTAAGCCTGAAATAATGACAGGGTGGTGCAGCTCTGTGCTGAAAAGGGCGGATTCCCCAGGGTGATCAGGCCTAAGAAAAAACATGTAAATTACTGTGAAACCTTCTTTGTTTAGAATGCTCTCAGTTGAATGAGAAGGGTCTTAGGAGGAAGTTATTTTGTTCCTCAGTCTTACAGCTCTTTGACCCCCCAACTCAATAGACCGGCAGAGTTCTTTGTTCTCTGTGGTTCCTTACTTCCCTCTAATGAGTACTGTACTTTACCTGAATTATTATGCAGAATGAGCCCAATAAAAGCAGGTATGGACGGTAAATCAGCGCGCTCCCCACTAGGGGGGTGGCCATTTCGTCCCTACTTCCCCACAGAAACTAGTCTGTCTCTGTGCATGTGTCGTTTTTTCTCGCGTGTTTATCGTCGAGCCATCCACAGCACTCCGTGGTCACTGCTGGCCGGTGACCCACGCGCAACAGCAGGTCCCTATGTGGACAGAGGGAGGTGAGCTTGGGTCCTGTCTGGATAAGAAAAGGGTTACCTAGGGAACAGCCTGAAAATTTTTTGGCTGCAACAAACCCCTTCCCCAGGAGCAGGGGTGCAGACGAAGCACGCTGGAACATGCACTGCACCTTCCCAGAGTCCCCCCATTTCCAGGAATAGCCCAAGTCCGGCGGCTCCTTTCCCGCTGCACACACAGAGCTCAGCCTGCCTCTCCTGGGGACGTGTGTGAGTCCGGACCCCGGGGCTGACAGAGGGGAGCTGCCCAGTCAGTGTGCTAAAGTTCAAGTTCGTGTGATCAAGCAGGACAGATGTCTTGGAGGAAAGTGGAGAGAGAACTAACTGGGGCTGTCTCACTTCCCAGGTCCTGGGGTTCCCTCACTTCCCAGGTCCTGGGTCCCCCATCAGCCCACCCTCAGCGTCACCCACAGGGGACTTGTGCCCTTGTATGAGAAGACACCAGAGACCATGCACTCGCTCCTTGTGGGTGCACTGACAGAAGGCCATGTGGGGCTTCGTGAGGCCGTGGCTGTCTGTACGTACACAGAGACTCTGACCTTGGCAGCACCTTGAACTCAGACTTTCAAGCCCCAGTGACCCCATGGTTTCATGTATGTAATTATGGGCCTGTCCCCTCAGAGAAATCCTGAGTCTCCCTATAAAGCATGTTCAGCCCTGGCTAGTGGCTGAGTTGTTGGAGCGTCAACCTGAGGCACCACGGTGGCCAGTCTGACCCCCGGGCGGGACACACACAGGGAGCAACTGAAGTGCATGGATGAGTGGGGGAACGAAGCGATGCTTCTCCCTCTCTCTCTCTATCTCTCTCCCTTCCTTCCTCTCTTCCTGAAATCAATTAAAAAAATACCAAACCTATTTCGTATTCAGTTGTTCCTAGCATCATAAAGGAAAGTGAAAGCGGAACTCTCAGCTTCCATATAAAGCCTGTCCCACCAGCAACGCCCAACACACAGCGCCATGGACTCCCAGGTAAGTCCCTGCACCTTCCTGTCGGTGGCTCTGGGCGGCGGGCAGGTCCCCTCCTGCGAGGGCCCTGCCTGTGCTCCCGGCCTTGTGATCCCCAGAGCTCGTCTTTGGAGGCTTTTAGAGAAAACTATGCTGTTTCAAAGTCTCTTTTAATGGGTAGGACGGTGAGGTCCTCAGGCAAATGAGCCTTGTCTCTTCATCTGGCACCATGAGGGGACCTGGGGTCCCCAAGAAGAGGGATGTGTGGGTGTCCAGGCTGATGGGGGGAGCTGGGAAGCCAGCGAATCCCTGGCCTGTCTCCCTCAGCTGCCGCCCCAGATCTGAGCCTTCTCAGCCCCAGTCTGTTCTCTCCCCCCTTTGCTCGAACACAGTTGGCCCCGCCTGGCACTGTGCCCTGGAATTTTAGCGTGCTGAGTCCACAGCTCCCCTCCTGTCACCCTGGGGTCCAGACTCACACACGCCCCCAGGAGGGGCAGGAGGAGCTCCGTGTGTGTTTAACTGAGAAGGAGCCGCTGGTCTTGGGCTACTCCTGGAAATGAGGGGGTTCTAGGAAGGCGCACTGCACACTCCAGAGCCCGTCCATCTGCATCCTGGGTCCAGAGCCAGGGCCGTGTTGGGGGAAACACAAAACCGGGCAAGTGCTTGGGGAACCGTTTCTGACCCAGACAGGGCTGAAGCTCACCTCCGTCTGTCCCCGGCTACTGTGGACAGTGCCCTGGCCTGGCCTTAGTTAGACATTAGATGTAGAGTGAAAAATCACCCCCACCCCATTCCCCCTCCCCAGATGGAGCTGGCGCTGGGCCCAGAGAGGAGGAGCTGGGGAATCCTGAGCCCACTGACCGCCCCACTTTCCTCCTCCTCACACACTGCCTTCCCTCCTACTGCAGACCTGCCCCCTATGGGGGGGATCCTGGAGGTGCAGGGAGGGAGGGCCCGGCACACAGGGGCCTCCCTGACTGGAGCTCAAGGCCCAGAGGGGTGCAACAGGCACAGGGACCTGCAGTGCCACGTGGTCCTTGTGGGGAGAGGTGCAGGTTCCCAGGGCCTGGGGACCCAGAGAGTGTCAGCTGAGCCAGGCTGGGGACTTCAGGGCAGCTTCTCAGAGGAGGGGTGTCTGTCTGATGGGGGCAGAGGAGGCGCAGGGGTGGGGCGGGGGAGAGGAGGACAGAGAAGCACATGTGTGTGCAGAGGGGCAGAGGTGGGCGTGAGCTGCCTGGAGGGAAGGCAAGGCCTGCAGTGGCCCCGGGGGGGCAGTGTGCTGGGAGGGCCAGGGGGCCAGGAGGGGTTGGCCTGAGGGGCCTGAGAGCTGCCCACGGGCTAGCCTGATTTCTGAGGCCAGATGAAGGTCATTTCCAGGTGGGCCCTGTGGAAGCCACAGTGGGTCTTGGGGAGACTGGAGGGGGAGGGAGAGGCACAGGAGGCAGGGGGCTGCTCAGGACACCATGAGGGTCACATAATGGGAAACCGGGAGGCCCTGAACCAAGTCATCTGTGAGGAGATGAACAAGGACGTGAATCAGGAGAAACTTCCAGCATCAACACCGCTGTTGGGTGTTGGCAGGAAGGAGGGCAAAGGGGAGCTGACCCCTGGCCTCAGATCGGGCGTCCTGGGGTGAGGGCTCTGGAGGGGCTGCTATTTACTGAGGTCAGGCAGAAAAGGAGAGTAAAACTGAAATATTGTCCAGTCACGAAACAGCCACTCCCTGGGCAGTGCACTGGGGCCAAGGAAGGAGCTGTCAGAGGGGAGGGGGCAGGGACGCAGGGACTGGGAGACCCGGGGCAGAGAAGACCCAGTGCAGCCGCTTTCCTGCCAGGTGCTCCCTGCACTCCCTGCCCCCTCTCTGAGCCTCAGTCTGTAAACCAGCGCAAACCGGTGCTCCGCACACCCTCACCAGGTGACGAGCACCAGCCAGGGGTCCTCAGGCCAGCAGTAAGTCGCCAAGCAGGGCCTTTTCTGGTGCCTGGAAATCTGTGTACACCCTTCTGGCATTTTCTCTTGCAGGAAAGCAGCGAATGCAATCCAGGAGACCTGATTGAGATGTTCCGTGATGGCTTCCAGCACTGGGCACTCTACATGGGAGATGGCTACCTGGTCCATCTGGCTGTTTTACGTAAGGACTGTGAAAGTGTAATTATCAAAAGTTTCATTAACATAATGAGAATAACTCAAAGCCAAATGTCATCATGGGAAACCTGAGTTGGTTTCTCCCCGAGCAGTGGGTGCGTCACCCTACATCCATGTCCCTCTGAGTCACCCCAGTGAGTCACCCAGTACCTGACAGGGCAGGCAAAGAGGTCCGTGGGCGCCCCAGTGCAGCCAGGTGGTTCGGCACTGGGGGCTCTGCAGCTCAGTGCCCGGTTACCGGGGCATGCGAGGGCTGATGTCACTTAAACCAGCAAAGGCTCTGAGTGTCTGTGGTCACATAAAAGACAAGGTTCCGCAGTGCTCTGTGCTGGACACTCACGTGATTTCACAGAAAAGGTGTCCTGAGTGTGGACTTAGTTGCCCTCAACAGAGGAGGCTCTCACAGTGACATGTCACTAAGAACATGCTCTCACAGACCCACCTGAGTGCCCCGAGCGCTCTCTTCAACTCCTGGAGAGCAGGGGAGGCAGGACGGCCCGGCAGGTCCGAGGGGAGTGCGGGACGCAGGTGTGCGTGCCGTCCAGGATGGAGGGATGCTGGGGTGGGACTGCTGACTGAGGGCCCGTGCTGCGTGTCCCCCAGAGCCTGTCACCCTAACCTTGGGCCGAGGGTTTGTACTGCCCCCAGACGGAATCTGTAGTCAGAATAACCTTTGCGTCTTGTCCATTTTCTGTAAGCTCTCAGCTACCCTGACAGAGTCGTAACAATGTCTGAACGGACGGAAACTAGTGAGCGCTACCCCCCTAAACAGGGTCACACTTCAGGAGGCTTGGAGCAGAGAGCAGGGCTGCAGCCCCCAGGGTCCAGGGTCCAGGGTCTGGGCTGTGCCTGCATGTTGGGAGGACTTTCTTAAGGGAGGGGCGCTCAGTGGGAACCTCAGCCTTCAGATGAGAACCATAAACTGAGCGTGCTCAGTTGCTGTGCGCACTGTTGCCCACCCACCCCACCTAGAACATGACACCCGGACCCAGTGGGATGGACTGGGGGCCCCAGCAGCTGGCAGCTCCAGTGTGGGCCTCTGCACTGTCCACAGCGCTGTCAGGAACGCCCAAGAATGTGTCTCGGGTCCAATGTTGATTATATAAGGGGGGGTCCAAAACATTGGAATTTATTTATAAAAGAGATGTACTTATTCTTACATGTGTAAACTTCAGTCATCTTGAAAGAACTCTCTGCTGGATGCCGCACAACCACCGAGACCTTCTCTCCACTGCTCAGACCTGCTTTTGACTCGTTGATTCTGATGCCTTTTAGTGCTGCTGCCGTTTTTTGGGTCACTTCTCCCACATCAGCAAAACACGTCCCTTTTAGGACCTTTTCCACCCAGGGAAACAAAAAAGTTGCTTGGGGACAGATGGGGTGAATAGGAAGGGTGGGGCATGGGGTTTATGCGGTTTTTGGTCAAACACGGTGGGCCCTCAAACGGCTCTGACCTCTTCGGGAAATGCACGAGGGCCCCGAGAGGAACGGAAAACAAACACGGTTTCCAGTCATCGTTCACGGCAGCTGAGCCGGGGCACAGACAACATGCTCATTAACGGGAGGGGCTGGTCAGCTGGACGGGGACCATTCTGGTAACAGAACACAAGGCAGCCACTGGCCACCCCAGCACTAACACCATGAAAGCACATCACAGCTTGTTCAGTCAAAGGAGCGAAATCTGTGATTCCCCCAGTCCCGTCTGGGAAGGGACAGACACCAAGAGCTCAATAGATGGCTCCCTTTGCCCTTCCTTCTGGTCTCACCCTCTCTTTCCCCACCCAGTAGTCCCCCCACTGGAGTGTCTGACCCCAGTGTCTCCGGTTCCAGGTGACTCACCAGAAGCGAGCGCCTCCAGAGAGGACTTATTTCTGAGCAAGAAAGCAGTGGTGAAAAAGGTGCCGCTGGCTGATGTGAAGAGATCCACATATCGGGTGAACAACCAGTTGGACAAGGAGCTACAACCACTGCCTGTGGAGCAGATTATCAGTACTGCCGAGAGGATGATTGGAGAGAAGATGGAGTTCGATATTAGCAGCAACAATTGTGAGCATTTTGTCACCAAACTGAGATACGGTGTGCCCAGATGCCTGCAGGTAAGACCCTCTCTGGGTGGTCTCTTTTGCTCCTGGAGGTCTGCTTCAGGTGGGGCGACCAGGCGGTGCACCCAGAGGGAATAGTTACCCTGAACGATGCAAAAGCGGGCTCTGGGGGATCCCCTGTGGCAGGGAGGCAAGACATCTGAGAGCCCTTCTCAGATCTGCTTCTAATCCTCTCAGCGTCTTTGCACGAGTCACCTCCTCCCTCGGCCTCAGTTTCTCCATGTGTAGAAGAAGAGCTGGTTGGAGGACCTCTCGGGCTATGTCCAGCTCTATCCATTTAGGGTCCTTCACCTGTAAGACCTCCTAAAGGCAGCACCTGGGGCCCCTGTGTGTGGTCAGGGAGCATCTGAGCCCAACCAGCACCATGGCAGGCCAGCTCTCCTAGGGCCCCAGAGAGCACTGGGGCAGGAGGTGCCCGGTCAGTGGGCCCATGTGCCAGCTCAAGGACACCTTTGTGTCCCACCTGGTCACAGTTTTAACCCCTCCCCCTCTCTCTCTTCCCAGTGTGTTGTCCCAACACACCCAGCTAGTGAGGGGCAGGAGCAGGATTCAAGAAGTTAGGGGATGTGCTCACAAAGTGCTCACAATTTTTGCTGCTAATATCGTACTCCACCTTCTTGCCAATCATCCCCAGTTGCCCTGCTCTTCACTGCTGAACCACAGCGCCCCCAGGACTGGGGGCCCCAAGACTGGGTGGGTGGGGGCCTGCTGAGAGAGAGTGGAGGAAGAAGGGGCAGGTGTGCAGGGGGTAAGGGTTCGATGATGAGGTGGGGGGTGTGAGGCCAGCCAGACGTCCAGGTGGGCATGTTGAGCAGCAGATGGACATGTGAGTCTGGAGTTCAACACTGAGGGGCACTGGAAGGCGAAGTTTCCAGGCTGCACTTGTGAACAGTCCACAGTGTGGCTGTGGTTTCCCAAGGTCTCCCCTCAGCCTCTGCCACAAGCGTCCCCCTGCAGGGGCAGCCCCAGGGAGAGCCCAGACCACAAAGCCATTCCCACCTTGACCCCAGAGCTCTGGGCCCAGGACCCCAGGCACAAAGCCTCCTCCCCACCCACCCAGGCCGGGAACACTCGGCCTCCCCCAGGGAGTGCACACAGAGGACTCCCTCAGCCCCTCCTGCCAGTAGGCGGGACAAATCCAGACAAGCCCACACTGAGAAGTACTCACAACTTCTGTTTCCCAGGGAATGGGGCCAGCATCCTGTGTGGGAGAGGACCCTGGGCTTGCCTTGGGAGGGAGGGAGGACCTGCCTGCACTGGCTGTGGACTCTGACATGGGCTGCCCACTTTCAGATTGAAAAGGGTACGGTGGCACCAGAGTTGGCTGAAGCCTTAGCTGACGCTGCTGCTGCAGCAGCCCCTCTTGCTCAATCTGCAATGACGAACTCGTCCCACCCCAGTGACAGCCTGAAGAAGCCACAGGATCCTGCCCTCGAAGCCGCTGACCAGCCAACACCCCCACCTCCCCTGCCTCCCTGACCCCGGCTCTCGGGCAGCCCCCAGTTCTGTCCCTCGCTCTCCCTCTCGCTGACCGAAGGATGGAATAATTGCACCAAGACCTAGAATGAATAAATGTATCTGCCTTTCCCTTCTGAGAGGAATTCCACTGTGTGTTGCGTAGACTTCTAAACCAGACGGGAGGAGGTTCAGCGCCTGTTGGGGACACCAGCAAGCTCTGGCCATGTGGCCCTGGGTGATGCTCCTGACTCCCAGGCCTCAGGTCCTTCTCTCCCAGATGGGCCGGGGTCCCCGTCCCAGTGACAACGTGAGGGTTGGGTGAGTCGGTGGGCGGGAGACCCCTGCCCCTGTCTGGTCTGCGGCAGGAGTTCAGAGGACCGTCCCCGTGGTTCTGTGCAGACCGACCCTTGTTCCCACTGGACATCACTCCTTTCACTCCCAGGGGGCAGAACACGAACACGAGATTCTCCCCACACCACCATCCCCCCGTGGAGTCCCGCCCTCTGGCCCCTGGGGCCCCTCACAAGGCATGGCCCTCCCCCAGTGACCTCTCTCACGCAGCCCACCTGGTAGAAAGTGCCGCTTTTCTCTTTGAACTCAGAGGCCTCCTCCTCACCACCTGTGACAGCAGAGGGAATGCTCTCATTTCTGGGCACCCCCCTTGCCGAGGCTCCAGCTGCCCCCGGGGGGGCGATGCTGAAGACCCCCACCCCGACACTGAGGGCAGGACACCCCTCTGTGGGACACTGGGATGGGGGTGCCTGGGGTCACAATTGGCCCAAACTCGTAGAATGCGCAGCAGCGAGAGCGGCCCCTGAGGTAGACTAAGGAGCTGGCTTATGATGCTGTGTCACTGCAGGTTCAGCGACTGTGACAACAGTGTCCCCTCCGGGGACTGTGGACAGCGGGGGAGGCTGTGCATGAGTGGGGTCGGGGGGACAGGACATCTCTGTACCATCCCCCGATTTTTCTGTGAGCCTAGAACTGCTCTAAAAAGTAAGTCTGTTTAATAAGGTAACAGATATGATATATTTGACTTTACAAAAATTTGGTTTTCTTTATGGCAAAATGTTCTCATTATTCTCTTGTGTATTCCCAAATACTCACTCAGTTTCTTTGATCACATCTACTCAATCATTTAAAAATATTCCCTTTCGCCTCATTGAAATGATTCATGAGTCCAATCCCTTCTTTCATATAAATATAGATTAAATATACCTATTTTATAATCTGTGTCTAATAATTTCAGTATAGAAAGGCTTTGTGAGTCCCATTCCACTCTGTTTTTCTCCTACTGTCTCTCTCTCAGTGGCTTGTTTCTTGTTTTGGTTTCCTTTTGCCTGTTAGCTTTTATATTTTTGATGTGATCATGTATTTCTTGAACTTTTCTGAGAAAGTTCTCCTTTAGAGAAGACTCACATTCCCATCAGCAGCTGCCAAGGGGACACACTCATTTTATTATAATTATTAGTATTTATGCCCAAACAAGGACTTTTTTTTTTCATTGCTTTTAGAGAGAGGGGAAGGGAGAGAGGAAAGGAGAGAGAGAAAAATCAAAGCGAGGGAAAAGCAGTGACCTGCTGCCTCCTTCCTGCACCTGGACCGGGACTGTGTGCATCCCAGCTGGGGAACCTCACACACCCCAGGCAGAAATTGAACCTGCAACCTAGGTGTGTGGCCAGACAGGGAATCAAACCCGCTGCATTTTGGTTACAGAATGACACTCCAACCAACCGAGTTTACCAGTTGTGGCAGCACAATCATTTTACACAAAATATTCTTTCTTTTTCTTTTTCTTTTAAAAAATGTCTATGGAATTTATGGGGGTGACACTGGTTAATAAAATTATATCGGTTTCAGATGTATCGTTCTACAACACATCATCTGTGTGTTGGATTGTGTGTTCACCACCCAACATCATCTACTGTTACAGGGTACAGCCAAGAGGGGGCCCCAAATAGGGATTTGTAATGGGGTCCAGAACTCAGGGTGTCCAAGAAATATTAGAAAAATATATATATGATGTCCTCACCTCCACCAGTCGGAGCTGGGGGATGGGACACATGGAGCAGGGCCATGGAGAGCTGTTTTGTACAGCAACAGCTTTGCAGCTAACCTCTCGCGTCGTCGTTTACAATATCTGTAACCTTTAGCTGGTTTCACAGATATGTTAAACAGCTGTGGCCAGGCTTTGGGCCAGGGAGATGGAAGTGAGTTCTACCCAAGATGTAACTGGGAGGCAACTGCCCCTGGGTACAGAGCCTGTGTGACAGCTTGCAGATGATTGTCTCCACACCACACGACCATGCCTGCCCAGACTTACTATGGCAGCCCAGTAAAGCTGGAGGAATGAGGGAATGTTGGCAGGTGTGACTGGTTGTGGGAGGAGTCAGAAATGGGGCTGCAGAGGAAGATTAGGGTGGGCATTTAAACCCAGGGTCAGCAGCCATACCAAGAGGGACCACACAGCTTTGGCAGAGTAGGTTGTGACCACAAGGCTTGGGCGAGAGTTAGGACCATGTGGCTTTAGGGTGCTCCCGTTTTCCACGTGGCTTAGGCATCAGGAGACACTTTGCCTGGAAGGAAAGGGGTGAAAGGACTCTTGCTGGTGGGTCATGAGAAGGTGCCACATGGCTTTGGATTAACTGGAGATCGGGATGGCGACACAGCGGATGGTGCCAGAACCGAGGGGCTGCCTGAACCACAGACTTTTGCTTTTTTTGCCCAAGACACTGTGCCCTGGACTGGGCAAAGGGGAGAAGAAAGAACCTTGTCCGTTTGTGGGTATTCTAAAGAATTTTGGTATTTTAATGAAGACATTAAGTCATTACTCTAAGTCTGTATAACTTTTAAATAAATAATTCCTTCCCTTTTCACCAATCTCTGGCATTGAGAGATGTGTTTCCTCTGGCAGTGGGCAAAGCGAACCTAGTAGATGGGGGGAACCCTTGGAGAAAAGGGGGGATCCTTCTGGTAATAGTAGATCGTTCACTCCCCCCAGGTCTGCTCTGTAACACTACCACCACCATTTATCCCCCTTTACCTTCTCCTACCTCCCATCCCCCACCTTCCCCTCTGGTCACCACCCTCTGCACCCAGCCCTGCCCAGCCCCGCCCCTCTGACAGGGGGTCTGTCTGTTCTCTCTGTGGGCGTCAGATTCTACTTTGTTTATGTTGGTCATTAGATTCCACATGTGAGTGAAATCGTGGTATTTGTTTCCTCTGACCAGCTCATCTCACTGGGTTTAATGCTCTGCAGGACCATCCATGCTGTCCCAAAAGGGGAAGATTTTGTTCGTTTTTTATTCCAAGTTGGTATTCCATTGTGCAAATATACCACAGCTTTTTTATCTACTCATCTACTGATGGGCACTTGGGCTGTTTCTAAAACTCAGCTATTATGAATAACTTTGTGATGAACATAGAAGTACAAAAAAAATAAATCTTTTAAAAAATTAACCACCTCAGGCCTCGCCAGGTGGCTCAGTTTGTTGGAGGGTCGTCCCATCACCAAGAGGTTTTGGGTTTGATTACTGAGCAAGGCATGTCCCTAGGTTGTGATTTTGATCCCCGGTCAGGGCATGTACAGGAGGTAATTGATTGATGTTACTCTTTTTCTCCTTCCCAAACTCTGGCTCTTAAAAACAAAATCAATAAATATATGCTCGTACAAGGATTAAGAAAAAAATTCACCACTGCAGTATTACCCTCCGCTACTTCCTAGTGTGGCCTGGGTAGGGTCTCAGAAGGGCCGGGTCCCCAACTTCTCACACTTCCTCCCCATCCTCTGCCACCAGCGACCCTACTGAGCAGCCACTCCATCTGGCCATTCTCCATGACCATCACCACAGCCACCACCACTCTGACTTGGGAATTCGGGGCGTCACCTCCCTGGCTGTACCTGCCCACACAGGAAGAAGCTGGCGGGCCCTTGACCCCCCCTCCCTGCAAGAGAGACCAGGCTGGACCCTCGCACAGGGGCTCCCCTGGAAGCTCAGGCTCTCAGAGGCTGAGGGACAAGCGAGGAACTCCTCCACGCTGCTACCAAAGGGGGGCCGTGTGCCGACTCCCAGGCTGAGATGTCAGCCTCCATGTGGGGGTTCCAGAAGGGGCCATGCTTGCCTGGTTGCTGCCAGGCTCCCTCCAGCTCAGGGGCCCAGCTCTGTGAGGCCCAACAAGCAGGAGGCTGAGACGCAGGAGGAGGCTTCCCACCTGGTGCAGTCTAAGGCTCCCCCCAACAGGAGAGGGAGCTTGGGGGTCAGATCCTGTGAGTGTGGTGACCTCCAGCCTCTAATTCCAGGGAGCAAATCTCCCTGGGACAAGACCCAGGCTGTCAGCAGCTCTGGAGGGACCAAAGGTCAGTGCCAGCTCCACCCCCACCCCCCAAGTGCCCCAGTAGCAAGGGGGGGCTGAACAGTGGAGGTGGCTCACCCATTACCCCCTCCGAGTGAACCTGCCTCTGCAGTCTAGCCTAAGCTGCATCGGCAGAGCTGATTGGCCTAGTGAGGTCACCTGTTCTCTGTTCAGAAGCTGAAGGACCTTGGGGTGGTTTTTAAATTCCTTTTGCATTTTATTTTTAATTTTTATTTTTTAGTTTATTTTTTGATTTTGCTGTTACAATTGTTGCATTATTTCTCCCCTTTATGCCCCTCCTCTTGGTACTCTCTTTCCCTCTAGCACTCCTCCCCCTTAGTTCATGTCCGTGGGTCGGACGTGTAAGTTCTTCAGCTTCTTCCTTTTCTGTTCTATTCTTAACCCCCACCCCATCTACTGTGTGCCTACCAGTTACACTTCTTATTCCCTGTACCTTCCATCCCCATTCTCCCTTCCCTCACTGATAACCCTCCCCATGATCTCCATTTCTGTGATTCTCTCCCTGTCCTACTTGTTTTCTTAGACTATTTATTTTTTTTAAGTTCAGTTGTTGATAGCTGTGAGTTTATTGTCATTTTACTGTTCATAGTTTTGATCCTCTTTTTTCTTAATAACGATAAATCCATTTAACAGTTTACCTAATAAGGGCTTGGTGATAAAGAACTCCTTTAACTTGACCTTATCTCGGCAGTACTTTACCTGCCCTTCCATTCTAAGTGATACCTTTGCTGGATAGGTGTAGGAGGTAGGTCCTTGCCTT